GGTACATTGCTGTGTTCTTATGCAAAAACTTACTTAAATTTTGTTTTATTAAATTACATTGTTTTATTTGTTTGTTTTTGGTTTATTTTTATTTTTCGCTAATAAATTACATTTACGTTGATTAAAATTAAATATTTTTGTATGTATGATTTATTTTAAATAATTTTAATATTTGTTAATATTTTTTATTCTTTCTGTATTGTTAATGTCAAAAAAAAATGTTTTGTTTGTTTTGGTTTTATTTAAATTATTTTTCATATTGTTTTTGGTTGGTTTACGACATCAAACACTTAGGCAAATCACATTTAAACAAACGAACTGTACAGGACATTTATTATTTTTTTTTGGGTTAAAGTTTTAAATATATATGTATAAATACATATTTATATGCATATATATATTTCTGTTACATACGCTATTTAACATTCAGATCACAGCCCATTTGTGGATTATGGAATTTTTAATAGTTTTTGTGTTTATTTTTTAAATATGTTTTTTGTTTATTTTTTTTTTAATATGATTTTTGAAATTATTATTTCTTCTTTTAGTTTATGAGATTTATTTAATATTGTATATAGCATCAATCAAGTGGGATAGTCGAATTAAATAGAAATAAAATTTTTTGTGGAAATTTCTTTATTGCATTATTTTTATGATATTGTTTTATTAAAACTGTATTTGAAAATTTTTTGAACTATTTTAGTTTTTTGGTTTACATTATTTATTAAAGTAGCACGACAATTGAAAATTATTTATATTATTTATTTACTTATAAAGGTTAAATTATAATGTTAAAAATAGAATTTTAAAATATGTAAAATAAGTGAGATTGAGAGCAGAATTTCCTTAAAATCAAAAGTATATAGCTTTTCGAATTGTATATTATAGTATCAATTTGGCACTAATATTTCTAATTAGATTTATATCAAAAATTCTTTGATTTTAGAAAAATGTAGAGATGAAAAATAGTTTTTACTATTGAAAAATAATATTATAATAAAAAAAGATTTAATCAAATCACAAATAAATAAAGAATTATTTGAATTAAATTCGTTTTAAATACTTTTAAAATAGTTGATAAATAAAATAATTTTTTTTTGTATTTAAGCGTAATTTGCTTTGCATATTTACATAAAATTTTATATATGTTTTATTTAAATAAATAAAAATTTTATATAATATTTATATAATAATAAATAAAAATTTATAATATTGTATAATTTATAAATTTCACACTGTTTTCTTTAACAATTATCGTGCTTTTTTTTATAAAAATTAATGATGTGCATCACAAGTGCAATTTAATTGAATAATAGAAAATCAAGTTTAAAATAGAAATACAAAGTAATATTTAACAATATTTTGATGATATACATTTTTAACTAAAAGAAAAACAAGAGAAATTGTTCAGTTTTTCAATTTTTAAATTAAAATATTCCATAAATACTTTTGTTAAGAAAATGTTGAACTATTGTCGTAGGAAATTTATAAATTAATTTATAAAACTAATTTTAAATTAGTTTATATGATTTGTGTCTCTTTTATAATATTTAATATATACATGCATATATATTTTGTATAAAATTAAATGATTAAAAATAAGTTTTTTAATTATAAAGAGAATAGTGCAAAATTTGAAAAAGCGTAAATATCCACAAAAAGCATTTTATCTGCAAAAGAGTTATTCTGTCTTTTCTTATTATAGAAATTTTGAACAGAAAGTTGACTTTTGTGTATTTTTTTGGCGCATTTTCATTATTGGCCGAAATGATTTTGAATATTTCTTTTTTTGACAATTTTATACTTTATATGAAGTGTTTGATTTTTTGTACGTTTGTTTTTTTTTTTTTTCGATCAGATTTTGTTTTTTAAAATGTAAATACGTTTTGTTTTTTTGTCAATGTTGTCATCATTTGTATTATTTTATAGCTATTAATTTTTAAATTTTTTAATATTTTTTTTGCAGGTTTTAGGTTTTAACTTTTTTTCAATTAATTTTTTTTCATAATTAGTGTATATACGGTATATATATATATATATATATATTATATATATATATATATATATATATATATGTATATATATATATATATGTATATATACAAAAAAATTTTGTTTTGTCTCTCTTCTTTTGATTTTTTGCAAAAGTTTTATTTTTGTTTTGCTGTTGGAACAAATTTATTTTTTTGTTTATATAATGTTCTTAGTGTCATATTTGATTTAATTTTTTAATTTAGTAAGTGTATTGCAAGAAATGAAAAGTTAGATAAAAATTTAATTTTGAAGGAATAAAAATTAAATAAATAAATATTAAATCAAAGCTAAAATAAAATATAAAAAAAAAAAGAAAGATACCAAATAAAATTTTTTTTAAAAACATTTGTTTGTTTATACATAATTTTTTAAAATAATATTTCATAAATTTATATTTGTAATAAATGTATAAGAATAAATAATAAAGAATATGGTGCATTCCTATATATATATATCATATATATATATATATATATATATATATATATATATATATATATATATATAACATATATATATACATATATATCATATATATATCATATATATCATATATATATCATATATATGTTGCATGTCATGTATATTAATATAAATGTGATATATGGGAATATAACATGTATGATATACATATACACATGTGATATAAATGATATGCAATATAAATAGATATTTCGAATGTCATATGCATCATATATGATATAGGATATATTTATTTCATTTATATATATGACATATAAGTATATGATATATAAATATATTTTGCTTTATTTTTATCGTATGTTATATATATCACATGTATACTTATATATCATATATGCATATGTATCATAAAACATATATCTAATTTATATATATTTATATCGAATATATCACATGCACATATCATTTATGGTATTTATATCATATTAAATATATATAAATTCTAATATATATAAATATGTGTATATAAATTTGTGTGTGTAAGTACATATTTTTATAAGACGAAAAAAAAATTTAATTTTGTTCTTTCATTCGGTGTTGCTTTGTTTATTTTTATACACAATGTTATTTTGCAATTATAAAATATAATTTAATATATATGCATATATTTTTTTTGTATATATATACATTTTTATTATGTTTATATTTTAATTATTGATTTAATTTTTGTATGAGATATTTATGGATGTAAAGATTTACCTATGCATATAATATTTATTTTTACTATGATTTCTTAAATGTTAATTTTTAAATAAAAATAAAATATGTAGAAATTATATGATTTATATCGAAACTATAATTATAACTAATATGAGATGAAAGTAATTTGTATGTAATATATATATTATTGGTAATATTATGTATACATTACAATATTTTAATACGTTTAGTAGGTTTTTGAATAAAAGTTTTTTTCATGGTGAATTAAAATTATTGAAGTATTTTTACTTATTACTCCTTTAAATTATTTATGTAGAAATTTTTTATTATTTTTCTATATTCATTGAAAGTTAACATCATTTAAATATTTGGATATAATAAAAATTTTTTTAAATATCTTTAGGACCAATTTTCCAATTTACATATTATTATGTTAATTATAAATTGTGACGAAATTTGAAAATTTGTGAGAATTCTTTGTAATCCATATTTATTTTTAAAAGTAAATTTCATATGAAATCATTTAGATAGTATCTTGAACGATGTTTAAGGACGTTGTATATTTTATGTACTTAGATTTTTTTATTACCAATAATATAATATTTATTTTAATTATATTTTAATAGATCAATATTATGCAATTCTAAATCAATATTTTCACTACTAGAATAATGTCATGACTTGTGATATCGTAATTTAAAAAATAAAATATATGTATATATAATATATAAATGTATATATGAGAGGTATACAGATTTATATGCATTTGTAGGTATATATGTATATATGCATTGTATATATATACATACGTATTTATAAAATTTTATGAAAATCTATTACCAATAGGAATAATTTTATTTTATTAATTATTTTTATAAAAAAAATAGCGTAATTAAATTCAACACTATTTTTATAATTATAATATATAAACATATATATATATATATATACAATATATCTACATACATATATGTCATTCCTGTATATTATTTTACTTTCTGGCTCTCTCTCTCCACACATATATGTATATGCAAATATGTAAAATTATAATACATTTGCAATACATATTAGTAACTTATATCAATAATATTCCATATTTATATGATATTATATTTACATATAAATATGTTTTTTATAAATATATAAAAATGTATATATAACACATAAAATTTATATTTTAATATATTTGTATATATACATATATTTATATGTTTGTTTACCACTTTTATATACTATATATAAAACTTCAGTCATAATATCATAAATTAATATGTATATATATATATATATATATATATATATATATATATATATATATATATATATATATATATATATACAAATAAAATATATATACACATTGACAAAACACTGTCTTCAAAATTTCTCTGCATATAGTATGTACATATTTGCATATATATTATATATTATATTGCGTATAACTCATAAAATTGTCAAGTGACTAAATTCGGAAATATATTTTCTCATATATTTTTTTTTTCATTTTCACATTTGTTCGAATAATATTTCATATTTTTGTCATTAGGTATTTATTATTTTTTTTTTTAAATAATTCATTCTTTAATTTTTTAATTAGTTCAAATATAATTTTCTCATTCCTTTTTTTCGATTTGTTATTGAATTTGCAAAATTGATTTGTTTTGTTTTTTCTAAAATATTTTTCTTTGTTTAAATGTTGTTTTTGGTGGGTGAAGTTAGTAGTTTTTTCAAATTTTTGAAATATTTTTTATGGTTTTATTTTATATAATATTAGAATAAATTTTCTTTTTAAATATTTAAATATTTCCTCTTGTTTTGCAAAAAAAAAACTTTCTTTTTTCATTATTTAATTAATTTTTTTTTTGTTTTTTGGATGTATGAATGAATTAAAAAAATATATTCATGTTCGACATCTGAAGTATAGTGTTAACATGTTTGTTTATTTTAATTTTGTTTAAATTTTATTTATATTGAAATTTTTATTTTACATATATATGTACATATGTAGGTATATATATATACATATAAATTTTTTTTTGGTTTGAATAGTTTGTCAACTGGTTTGTTTTTGGCAAAAAAATCTGAACAGTTTTACATATAATCCAGTACAGGAGCAAACACTGTTTGAAAAAAAATAGAAGAAAAAAGAAAATAAAAGTTTTTGTTTTAAAATATTTAATTACAATTTATTAATAAAATAATTTTATACATCTATTTTATTAATAATATAATTAATAAAATAGATGTATAAAATTGTCTATAGATGTATACAATTGGTGTCACCAGTAAGTTTTTTAGCTAAAAACATTTTATTGGAATTTGGATCTTATAATTTATTTAGTAATTTAAAGGTTGCAAGACAGATTTGCGGGTGTTATTAATTATGTTTTTTATATACAAAAAAAGTTCATGCTCAGAACTTTCCATGAGCTTTGCGCTTAAAAGTTTAAAAACCACTTAAAACACTTTGTAACATTAAAAGGAAAAAAGAAATTCGTCATTTCTGTCATAACAGGTCTGTTTTTATTGGAATATCTGGATTAGACATTAGTGAAAAAACATGAAAAAAAATTTTTGAGCTTAAACGAGTTATAAAAATTTTATTGGTGCTCGCATTTTATAGAATTCTTTATTTTTAAACATTTAAAATCCTCACAATTTATAGAGTTTTCATTTATTGAAACGAAAATTTATAGAATTTTCGCTTATTGTTTTTGGGGGAGTTTAGCATTGAAATTTTATTTATTTCCAAAATTTTTTTGCTTATACTCGTATGTATTTTTAAATAATATTTGGATTTATTCTCAATTTTTTACAAATTAAAATTTGTTAATTTACTTAGAATTTGAAATTTTATTAAACACTCATTAATCATTATTATTGTATTATATTTATAAAATATTGATTGAAATATAAAATAGTTTTACCTGCAGGAAGTGTATATATCATGATTTGCATCAAATTTATTTAAATCGACATCATTTTTATTAATAAGGTCGACTTGCATCCTTTGGCCGCTTCAATTGAACTTTCAGTCTTTTCATTCCAATTTGAAAGCCATTCATGGCTTGAATGGCTGCTTGAGCACTGGCAGGATTATCGAATGATACAAAACCTAAATAATATTTTTATATATTATGTTATTTATATAAAACCATGTATAAATATAATACTATAAAATTTAATGAAAATAATTTACATTATAATTAAAAATTGAAATTAATTACCAAAACATTTGCTCTGATTTGTAGCTCGATCAATGAAAACCTTTGAACTGATAACGTTGCCAAATGGTAGGAACATTTGCATTAATTCAGCATCACCAAATTCTTGTGGCAGATGATATATAAACAGATTGCAACCCTCTGGTCCAGATATGGAGCATCCTGGGAACATCAGAAAATCTTTAAAGAACATTAAAGAATCTTGTCAATATAGATTGGTGGAAGTAAAATGTGTGTTTTTAAATGTATGTTTTTTCTTGATTATTTCTTTTCCTTCTTCATCACTCATTTTTTCTTTTAAAACTTTGCTATGATAAATCATATGATTAATAAAAAAAGTATATTAAGAAAAAAATTAAAGTAACAAAAACATAAAAAAAATGTATATATATATATATATATATATATATATATATATAATATGTAGTATAAACATTGAAGAGCAACTTTTTGTATATTTTTTAAATTTTTATTCTTGCCTTTAATAAATTAATAGCTAACGTATTTTAATAATTAATTCATAATCATTCTATATGTATATAAATGTATTGTTTATATATATATATATATGTGCATGTATATATATATATGTATTCATATATATATTTATATTTTTAAATTTATTAATTTATGATTTATTAATATATATACATGTATATAGTACTAATATATATATTTATATACATGTGTATGTATATATATACAGATATATATATATATATATATATATATACATACAATATATATATAGATAAAATATATATATAGATATATATATGTATATATATATCTATATATATATTTTTACATATACTTATAAACATATATTGACATATATATATATAAATATATATATATATACATATGCCTATATATATATAATATAAAAACGTCCAACGAAAACATCAAAAAAACAATATAATTATATAAAGAAACATTTTTCATAAAACAATTAAAATATAAGAAAAAAAAATGTTGATTTTTTTGTTAACATTTAGAGCGAATAACTAGAAAAAAAAATTGTTTTTATTTTTAAATTTGTACTATTTAAATAATTATGATAACAACAAAAAAATTATTGCTTTTTATTTATTTATTTTAAATAATATTTTAAATTTTTGTATGAAATATAATTTATTTATTATTAAATTATAATTATTTATAATTTTAACTAAAGTTTCGAACTTCATATTAACATAAATATCTTATTTAGCGAACTTTTCAAGAGAGTTTCATTTTAATTGACTTTAAAATAATTTTGTTATATTTATACGATATAAGTTTATATCGTATTAAAATATTAAATATAAGTGTAAAAACATAATTTAAAGTTTTGTAAATATAAAATTTTATTGTAAGGAACAAAAGCAATTTATTCTTAAAAATGTGAGTTTTCAAAAAAAGACTTTTTGTTAATAAATCCTAAAAAAAAAATTACTTAAAAAACTACTGCTATACTTAAAATTTTCAAAATTTGATGAAAATTTAATTTATTAAATTTAAAGTTTTAAATACAATATTTATTTTATAAAATAAATTTATAATTTTTATTCAATTAAATTATATTTCATATAAAGCGCTGTACCCTAAAAATATTATGTTTAGAAAAAAAAAACAAAAAAAATTTATAACAATGTTATAACATATAGTTTTGATTCTATTTTAATTTTTTAATAAAAATATTCAACAGAAAACTATAATAATAAGAAGAACAAAAACATTTAAAAAACAGAAATATTAAATAACAATAAAAAAGAAAAAGGCTTTTTTAAAAATTTTGTTTTTTCTTAAACTTAATTTTAATCCTTCACTATGTCAATCACAGATATTTCATTATATAGGAACAACACTTTTAATTGTAATTATTAATTTATTTTTTTCATATTTCTATTTAATTTTTTCATATTTAATATAAAAGTTTATATATCAGTTTAGAATAAATATCACATTAATATATAAATATTAAATTTATTTTAATAATATTATAATAACTAATAAAATATTGGCTTTATAATAAATAATAAAATACTAAATAATTATAATAAATAATGAAAATGGTTCAAAATATTAGTTTTCAATTTTTAAGGGAAAACAAATTTAATCTATAAATTGTATTAATATAATTTCGAGAAAATATAGAAAATAGCTATGTGAAATAATTGAACTTTATAATTCACAAAATATGGGAAAATACGAAAAATAAATGCCACACTATTATTTTAAGATCATTTGTGGAAAATTATTAAAAATAAAATGAATGTTATAATTTTGTAAATGACAAATATTAAATTTGTAACAAAACTGTAAATCTGTTAATTTGATTATGGTATAAAATGTACCACTAATGAATATTACATTAAAAAATACAATTTGCTATATTGCTTTAGTATTTGCATTTCAATAAAAAAAAAGTGTCAGATTACATCAAAGTTTTCTGCATCTATTTAAAATAAATTGATGTTCTGTTAACAAGATTTGTTTAAAAATTAAAATTGATACATTATAATATTGCTGAAAATGTTCAAAAAAATGTATTTTTTGCAATTGTTGTTCCTTTTTTAATTATTTTGTAAATTCAATTATTTTACTTCCATACATTATAATATTAAATGCCATTTATGTAAATGATATTTTATTTTATTTGTTTTTTTTTTTATTTTGAATTTGTAAAAGTTTTCAAAATGATTGTCAATAAGATCTATATGCGTAAAAGTTTGTATTATTATAGACAGATCCAATAACGTTATTTAAATTTATTCAAAATAAATGCTAATTACTATTATAAGTAAAAAAAAATTTTAATTCACTTTTAGTGCAAATAATTGAATGTGACATTCAATTATTTGTGCTTATAACCTTCAGGTGAACAAACTATAGATCTTTCATATATAATCATATGTATGGATATCGTTTGTATTAAAAAAAGATAACATTCAATGTGTTTTACATTTTTGATATTAAGATTTCCTAGTAAATATTGTATGATAACATGAATGTATTGCTAAATTATATAAATCAGGTGTGCAAATATAAATATTAAAAATTTTCTGTAAAATTGTAAGTTATAAATGTTTTATTTAAAAAAAAAAAACAGAATTAAGTATAAGAAGAAAATATAAACGTTAGTACTAATAAAATACCGCAATATTGTAGCCTAAAAATAAATTTGTAGGTAAATTATGCTATCTACTAATAGCAAATTTGGATAAGTAAACAATTTAAATAGGAATTTTTATATGCAAATTTTGAACAATAAATATTTGTTGTATCATTTAAATATTTTTAAATTAATTTTTATTTTTGAATAACTTTAATTACCATTAATAATTACTTTAATATTTATCATAATTTTTATTTAACTATTATAATTTTATGATTAAAAATATTTCTTAAAGCATTGATTTCTATTACAATATCTATAACTCATAATTATATACATACCCAAATTTTTGATTTGTCTTATTACAGGAAAATATATATATATATATATTTTAACATTTCACATTTATGTAACTATTTTTAAATTTTGTAGGCTTTTATTTAATAAAAATGTAAAATAATAGAAGGAACAAAATATATTAATGTGAAATCACAAAAATGAACGTGATATAACATAAAGAACAAAAATAATATTTAATTATTAGATTATTTGAATAGTTTTAATACATATAATATTTATTGTAATTCTTATTTTTTATTATTAATTATTTTGCTTTGAGTATATATTTTAATTTTAGGAAATAAAGTACATAGTTATAAATATAATTACTGTGAATAAATCGAGTTGCAGCATATTTCTTCAATATTAAACTAGAAATAGTTGTATTTATTCCCTTGCATTATTATGTATTCTACACTTTTCTACACTTTAATATTTTTATATCTTAATTGAATGATTCAGTTATTTAAATGCTACATAAATTTTTTAAGTGTAAGATTCTGATTTTATATATACACATTTTTCTCTAAATAATTATTTTTTAATTATTAAGTTAAACAACAAAGTAATAAAGCAATACTTTTATAAAGAAAATTGTCGGAAAATTTATAAAAGTAGAAAACAATTTGCATGTTATTAAATTATTTTCTTGTTTTGTAAATTATATGGCATATATGTATCGCGAAAAAATTTGGTTCCCAAAAATTAATGAAAAATTATAGTGACACTTTTTCATTTGAAAAATGTCCTTTGAAAATTTAAGATATATGTATGTATGTATTTTGAATATAAAATTACAGATGTATGTAAATTAATTAATAATTTAAGAAATCGCTGAATAAACTAATATACATAGTATAAGCTATTGATACATAATAAAGAAATAGAATGCAATTCAAAAATAAAGAAACAACATACATATTTTCAAGTGTATAGGGATTCAATAATGTATAAAAGGTAATATAATTTAATATTACTATTCTTTTTTCTTTAACACTTATGTATATCAATGTGTAATTATTTTAATATATTTTTGAATTATAGTTGTGTAAGTATTTTTAATTTAATAACTACAATTCGATAATTTTATAGAATGAATTTGTTTTTAGTAATTAAATTTATATAATATTATTATGGAATGTGTGTGAATTACAAATATCCTAACTCATTGTCTATGATTTTATTTTTTTTTTTATAAATTATTATTCCTTTTTTACAATAACTTTTTTATCTTTGTCTCTAACCGTAGTTTTGTAGGAATTACTTAACGTTCTTACCTTCTCTTTGAGTTGCCGCTGCGACAGCTCCTAATGGTGGTGGAATGGGCTGTGGAAACTGTCCGTATACTGCTGGATATGCTGCATAATAATTATTAAAATTCAGATGGTAAAAAAAAAATTATGCAGAATTGTTTAAATTTTTTTTGTGATTTTTTTTTTTTTTTGTTTTTTTAGAGCTAAATAGTTTTTTTTTATTATTATTATATAATTTACTTTGTTATTCAATATTTTCAAACTACTACTGATTTATGCAATCTTAATTTTTATTTTGAAATATTGTAATTTATTATTGGAATATAAATTTTATGTAATAGAAAAATAAAAAAAAAAAACAAAAAGAAACTTAAATTACAGAAATTTTACATATTTTTCAATTGCTTTTAAAGTTTTTAATAAAAAATGCAAATAGTATAAGATAGTATAGAAAGCTATAAAGAAAGAAATCATACAAAAATTAATAGTTAACTAATAATAAGAAAATATTTCGAATTTCAAATTTAAAGAATTTAAGATTATTAAAAATAAATTAAAGATTTTTTAATAAAAATTAAAAAAAAAAAACGAATAAATGTAAGAAGCAATTTTTGTTCAAGTTTTCTAGTTTTAAAATAATAATTGCCATGTATTATTGTCTACATACTACAGAACAGGCAAATTTTTATAACAAACATATTTTTTACAAAACAATTTCAATAATTCTATTCAAAGAAATTTATTATCGAAAATAGAAGATTTTATTTTTAAACAAGTATTTTGAAAATTAAATGTAAAAATAGTAATACGTATAATAAATAGTTAAATATATTAATACGTTTGTTGAAAATCTTAAAATTTTATAGATTTTAGTTTTATATAGTTAACATTGTCTTCATTACATCTTCTCGTTAGCAAACTGCTTTTAAAATTAAATTAAAATTGAAATTTGTTCTCTGTAAAGATATTTCATTATTGAAATATTTTTTTCTTACTATGAAATGATAAAATTCTTGAAGCTGCAGTTTTTTGAATGGCATATAAATAAAATTATCAGTTGATTTATTTAAATTTATAAGAGCTCAATAAAATCAATAAACCAAAATTTTTGAAATAACTACTTCAATATATGATATAGATTTTATTAATTATAATAAATATTTATTTTAAAATTAAAATTGCCTGCACATTGGATTAAAATTATTTCTATTTGTGATATTTTGTGTAAATATTAATTTGTAATATTATAATAATTTTGTAAATATAGTTTTAAAATAATATCGTGCAATTTTAAAAATTTTAATTTTCTTCTTCTTATTTTTTTTTTGAATCAATTTGCTTTATTTTTAATTATACGTGTACAAGCAATCATCATGCATTATTCAAAAAATATTTGCTACAATAAATTTCGTCTTTATAAAAATTTTTTCACTCTTTCTATTTTCAATTATGTAATAATAATTCTTATATAATATGTATAACTACTTAGATCAGCAATTTAAAATATTAGGATAATATTATTTATATTACTATTAAAAATTTATTAAAAAGGAAGACTTATTTTTCTAATAACTAAATTTCTTTAATTTTAATTTAAACAGCATATTTTATGTATGCATGTACATTAATTAAAATTTAAATCATATTTCAATTAAAATATTATAATTTTTCTCTTCTATTCAATTCCAGTAATGCTTTCTAACTTAAGCTAATAAAATATTAATATTTTCGAAAAATTTTAAATTGTTGAAATACATACATATGTATAAGCGTATTTTAGGTTATTAAAGGGTATGCTGCATTATAATTATTAAAATTAAGATAATAAAAAAAATTATGCAGAATTGTTTAATTTTTTTTTATACATATGTATAAGTATATTTTAAAGTATACAAAGCTATTGGTATTTACTAATATTTAAACAATACACATATGAAATACGTAAATTTTCCAAACAAAATTAATTAATATTATAAAAATGATAAAAATAAAAAACAAAAATTAATACATAAAATATATATATACATATTTGATATTTCAATAATTTTAATATATCATTCTTTGAAGCATGCATTGTTATTATAAATAAAATAATATGTAATTGCATGCATCATTGTTATTATTGTATGAAAAAATTTTAAAATAAATTTAAGCGAAATGAAATTTAAATACAAAAAAAAAAGAAATTATTATCCTTCACGATTTCACTTCCACGATGTCATTATAATTATTTTCTATAATCTATATAGTATAAATTAAATTATTATTTTTATTAAATTTGTTTTTTTTTTTGATAATTTTAGAAAATTTTTTTGTTTGTAACAAAGGTTCTATAATATTTTTAAGTATACGTGTTGAATATTACATATAAAATAAATTCATATTGATTAAAATGAAAAATTTAATAAATAATGTGTTTTTTTTATTATTGTATTTCATTTAAAATTATTACTTTTTTTATTATTAAATTGTTTTTTATTTTATAATGCATATTTAAAATTCAAAATAATTATTTATAAAATTCTCTCAAACTAAAATCAAATAAAATGGAAAATATTCTTTATAGAATCATATTTTTGAAAAAAAAAATTATATAAGAAAAACAAAACAAAAATTTTAATAATTTTTTTTTCCTCATAAATTTTTAACTATATTTTAAATATTATAAAATTCGTTATTTTAGCTTTGTATATGTTATTTGAAAGCTTTGAATGATAATTGAAAGTGGCCGCAGAGAAATTTGAGTCCATTCGTTTCTTTTGCCTAATTTTAAATCAATTTGTACATATATAATTTTATTTGATCATTTAGAAAATTTTAAATTACCATAACTTTTTATTTGTTTGGCTTAATATAACTTAATTAAAATATTATTGTTTTAGATAACAAAACAACGACTTTTAATATAGTTGAAATATTTGGCAGAATTATTGTTTTACAGCATATTCCGTACATCATGCAGTTTACAAAATTTCATTGCAAAAGTGATTTTTAACTTGAAAACGTTGGACGTTGAAAATTTGCTAAAGTAAATTGTTAAAATTTTTAAGTTAATTTGAAATTTATCTTTTTTTTTTTAATTTTAGAAATCTACAAAACGAAAAGTATTGGAATATTGGAATGCCGCTTTAATTCTGACATACTTGCGAATCACACGAAAGTGGTAGAGTCAAACTTTATAGTACTTCAAACATTGCAAAAAACTTTTTTAATTTTGAATAAGAATTTGCAGCCCATCATACAATACCAAAAAAGCCCTTTTATTTTGGGTTTACTTTAAATGTAGGTTTTACTTTATATGTAAAATAATGTTTTACTTTAAAATAAGGGTATTATATTTTAGATAAGAAAAATTAAAGACAACCTAAAATTTTGATAGTATTTGATAAATAACTAGTTAATACAGTTTATTAGTTCAAGTCAAATAAAATTGTTAGTTTATTTAAAAGTTTTGTAGTTTATTTAAATTAATTTTTTCATTATGGTGATGTACTAAAGGCTTACTTAGGCTGCAGGAATTTAATATAATGTATTTAATTATTATAATTTTGGATTTAAATTGGCTTTCAAATGAATAAGAATAGAAACAATTAATTTGCAATATTGTATTACAAATATAATCATTGTATGCTGAATGAAATTTAATTACATTTATGTTTGAAATCACCTTTCATTTGCAATAATAATAATTTATTTTTGTTTTTTTAAATTTTACTCTCATATATTTTAGAGTACATAACTTTGAATATAATATCACGTAAAATATTGAATAATGAGAAATTGAATAAATTCAGAATTTATTGAATATAAAACAAATTAAAAAATTTTCATTGTTTGTTATTTAAATAAATTTATAAAAATTAAAGGAGTATATATTTTGCTTACTTCACTTAATTTATTTATGTATATAAATTTTTAAAATTTACTCTAAAAATAAATTCGAAAATAAGAATGTATGTATCTTTATGTGCATGTTAGCAAAATATAACACATTTTTAGCCTACCAAAATCCATTAACATGTGGTTACATATTTATTTATCATTATATCGAAATAATTGAAATACGTAGAAGTTATAATTTAATGTTATTATTTATTTTGCTATTCTTTTTCACTTTTCTTCAATATATATGTTTTCGCGTATACTTGTATTATTTTACAAAATATGATTCAAATAATATAGAAATTGAAATTTGTCTGATGAAAGATAATTGAATTTGTTATGTGATATATGATTTATGTAATTTATTTATAAATTACTTTGTATAAAATTGTAGTCAATTTGTTAATAGATTTATTTATGTTATTTTTAGCTTTCCATTATATTATCTAACGTTAATATCTGTTATAGTAGGAGAGAGTTTTTCAATAGTAATCAATAGTAATTTTTAATAGTAATTTTTCTATTTCAATAATTATGTATTTATTGTATGTATAATTTTTGATTTTATATCATTAGTAATTTGAAATAAATATTAAAAAATATATTCTATTAAGTGTATAATATGTATTTTGTTTAAAATTCTGTCGAATGAATATACGTATGCATATATCCTATTATACAGCGTAATTATAAATTTGAATGTCACTTTAAACAAAATTAATAAATTAACTTTAAATATAAATAAGATTTATTAAAAATTAAAATTTCTATTTAAGAAATTTAAAACAGAATACTTCGAAGTAAATTCATTATGCATAGACTACCTTCGGGAAAACAGAATAAAGAATTCGCTGTAAAGTTGAAATAAATAGAATTATAATTTGGTTTATTCGGCTCTTGCGAAGCACTTATTACTAAAAATATTATTAATTTCCTAATAATAAGTAGGTTTATTGAAAAAATTTTTTTTTCAATGGTTGATAATTTTTCCGAAATATAATTTTTTTTTTAATTGGTGTGAAAAGAAAACTTCCTTTTATTCGGAATAAAATACTTTTATTTTTCGCTAATATATTTCGTGCGCTACATACGCACTTTATCAAAGCTGATTTTCTTCTAGGTTTATTGAACTTTTTAGTTGCATCGTATAAAACTTATTAATCATTAAATCTTTTTGTATTCTGAAATTTTTGAATTTCGCGGCGGCAAAAACTAAAGAAAATTTAATACAAAAGAATTTCTTTTTTTCGTTTATTTAAGAGTTGAAAAAAAATTTGGTTTTTAATTACTAAAACAGTTTTTTACAATTTACAAAGAACAAAAAGAAAATTAAAAACAAAACAAAAATAAATTAAATTAATAAAATTTTAACATAAAAAGAATTAGCTTTTAAATGAAATTTTAATTGGTATCTTTTATCCAATTATTAATTCAAGCCCCGATAATTACTTTCTTTGGATATTTAATTTTTAATTTTAAATTCAATATACCTGATTCTGTATAACATAATATATACATTAAATGTATTAAATTATTTATAATAATTCCAGCATTTACATATGAACTAATTTAAATATACTCACATATATATAAAAAAATTTAAAAAAAATTTTCCCTCAGAATTCAACCCCTAAAAAAATTCCCCTTCTTTAAAATTATATTTTTAATTACAAATGTTTACAAAACAAAATATGAAAAAAAAAAAAAACAAAAATTAAAATAAAAATTAATTTCTATTATTATTTTAATTAAAAATTATAATTTTAATAATCATCTACATTATTATTTCTTGTAATAAATTAAATAAGACACAACTCTTTTTTAAGTTTTTTTTTTATAAAAATTAAAATATAATAAAAATATTAAAATTAAAACATTATAAAACAAACATAACATTAAAAATCTAACATAACAATTAGCGGTTATAGAAAAATTAAAACAAAAAACAGAAATTGAGAGAAATTCTTAGTAATTTTAATTTTTTTTTAAATATTGTTTGTATTTATAGTGGTATATATGTATTAAAATATTTGAATAGGTTTATATAGTATTATGAAAATATATGTATGTATGTATTATATGTATGTATTATATGTGGTATATTAAGGATATATTATGTAAGATTGTACAGAGTGTATAGTAATCAGTAGTGTTTCTTTTTTATTATAATAATTTTGTAATTTAATATATATATATTATAGAAATTGTAAAAATTTATATTAAGTAGTAAAATGTATAGTAGTAAAAATTTGTATTTAAATAATCTTAATTTTATGGTTTTCAATTAATATAGAATTAACATATGGTAGTAGATATTACCAGTTAAAATATAAAGTAGTGGTAAGTTAGTAAACTACAAATTAATCATCTTATTCTCGTATAAATTCATATTGATATATAATTATATAAATAATTTATTTAAATTTTAAAATACATACATAATTTTGAAAATTTTTCTGATCATATAAAAAAATTTCTTTTACAAGTTCATTTTGGCCAGTATTAAAATTAGTATTAAATTTGGCCAGTATTACAAAAAAAGTAATTGAATTAATTTTAAAATTTTAATTTAATATGAAAAGTATAACATTATTATAACATTAAACAAAAGTTAATTTATTTTATAAAATTTTGGTAATTTACGAAATTCTATTCAAAATAAAATTAAAACAAACAAGGTAATTATTGAATTTATTGGGTATGAATTAAATTTTATATGCAATTACTTAAGTATCAACAAAATGGGATGTAAAAATGTTATGAGAGTAAATATTTTTATAATGTCATAACTTTTAATGAGTCATTACCTAAAACTTACAAATTTTTGTGAAAAACTTTTGGCAATAACTTTTTTTAATATATTGTTGAAAATATTATATAGAATAAAAAGTGAATGTGAAGTCTGATTCTTAATACTTTCATATTTATTTTATGAAAATTATTTTAATTTGAATAAAATGATAATTAAATATTATCATACACCTTGCATTTTACTAGTATCGACTATAGAAAGGCGTAAGAATACGTTTAAATATTACTCAAAATTATTTTTTAATATTTAAATATACGAATATGAATATTTTTAATAAGTAATAATATGTTATACAAATTATATTATGTATGTATATTTAAATTAAATAGAATAAAGTATGTATATATTATATAATTATCATTTTAAAATATAAAATTAAAAGAATAATTTTATACGAGATTATATAAAATAATGTATGTATGGCAACATATTTAATATAATATGTTTATATATAATAAAAGAGGTTAATTGAAAGTTAAAAATTTCTTTATTCATTCATTTATATTATTTAATATGTGTATAATTATGTTATAGATGGTACGGTGCCTATATAGAGAGAAAATTTTTATTTGTTTTTCTATTGTTTTTTTTTTCCCATAAAAAAATTTTTTTTTAACTTGTTAGTATTTTATTATTTTTTTTTTTAATAAAATCAAGTGTATAATGTAGATATAATATTATGTAAATACACCATGTATTCAAGTATATACTATGTGAAGAAGAATTTTCTAAAGAATATTTCTAAAAAAAGAGTTTTAAAATTTTTTAGTTGGTTTTAGAGGTTTTTCTTGGTATATAGGTACAAAAGTAATAAGCAAGTATATATATATATGTTATATTTTATTTTCTAATAATAACTCACTATATGTATATATTACGTACATATGTATAATGTAGGATATATAGGTAAATATTAATAATAATATTGTTGTTAAAAAAAGCAACAGTTTTTGCTAAGTATTTTAAATATTCTATAAAATATAATATAGGTATGTTAATTAATATACGAATATATGTTGTGAACACAAACACACGACTTATACATAGAAAATATCATATTATGTATGGTATATATATTATATATAATATTTTAATAATACAATATGTTTGAATATATGAACATTTAATAATAACAAAAAAAAATAAAGGAAAGGAAAAAAGAAGTCTATTTACTTTTTGGGCTTGTGTTTAATTTTCAGTGTTTTTATGTTTTTTAGCTCGCTTTTTAGATTATTTGCTGCTAGCACAAATCCATACATAATAAAATATTATTTTTATATATTGTGTATACAAGATGAGAACAAATATGCATAAGAACATTTTTTAATGATTCATAAAAAAAAAAGGACGAAAAAAAAAAATCGAGGAGGAAACTAACCGCAACAATTTTATTCTTTATACTGTTATTTCTATATATATATAAAATAATATGTATAATTTGTTTTTTATTTTTACTTAATTTTACTTTTAGTATAAATTTTTTTCTTTTAAGCAATATGTACTTATATGAGAGTGGAAAAATGAAAATGAAGAGAATTTTTTAACTTACCAACTCCTGGATATGGTGGTATACCGGTAAATGCTGCATGTTGAAGTGCCGCATCTCCATTAGCCAGGCCTTGTGTAGGAATAGATAAATGCAGAGAATCTGAAATATTTGGAATATAATCTGAAAATTAAAAATTTTGAATTTGTTTGTTTTTTTTTTTGGTTGTTGTTGATGTTTGTTGTTGTTTGTTGTTGTTGATGTTGATGGTTTTTTTTACGGTGTTTAAACGAAGTCAAAAGGGAGTAGACATTATATATTGTAAAATATTGAGAATCAGTAGATTATCATATTGGAAAGTAATAAGGTTTTTTTTTGTTATTATTATTATTTTTATTTTTTTTTTTTATAAAAACCAGAAAAGAATTTATATTGTAAGACACATATTAGAATATAACATTCAATATGTAGTCATTAAAAAAAAAAAGAAAAAAATCAAATTTAAAAATGAAAAAAAGAAAAGAAAGAAAAAAAGAAAAAAAATAAATTTTATATTAGAAAATTATTTGTTTTGTTTTTGTTTTTTTTTTCAATAAAAATATTTTCTTTTTTCATATAAATTTTTTTTTAATATGTATAAATAATATGTACTGCATATTATATAAATGTTATTTGGTACAAATAGAAAAAGAGTGGCGAAATAAAAAGAAATAATTTTATTTTTTAGTAAATCTAATATTTCTTAAGTGGTATGTGAATTTGAGTTGAAATTCATGAAAGTGAAAATTTTATAGGCGATTTTTACATAAAGAAGTTACTCATTACATTTTTGACTACATTGTTTGACTGCATTGTTTGAATGCCTTGTTTGATTGTATTCTTTCAAATCATTAATTGAGAAGTTTTTTCAAAATTGATAAATTATTTAAAATTTTTGATTTTAATAAAAACTGTTATGATTTAGGAAAAAATATTACGTATCTGAAAAGCCTCATAGGCTTTCATTTAATATGTAGTCATGTTAACTGAATTTCTAATTTTACTTTTGAAAATCTTTAAAATTCATTCGTAATATTTCATAACATAATGCACTTTTATAACTTATAATATGCGTATATATTATTTACATAATTAATTATATTATTTACATTATAATAAAATAATTTTTATATTTACATATAATATATACAATATTAGGGATACTTACGACCAGTATAAGTTTGTGAGATACTATTCGTGAAAACACCTTCAGTTGCTGTTGCTTGACCATTTGGTGTTTGAGCCGCCATATTAAATGTTGGCATTGTAGGTGAAGGAAGTGGTGGAATTGAACCATTTATTGGTTGACCAGAACCATTTAGTGCGTGAGGTAATTGTGTTGCTAACGCTGCCATTGGGTTCATATATGTACCTTGAGCTGAGGCTGCTGCCATTATAGCGGCTTGTTGTGTCTGCATATAGTATAATTATATTTATGTTTTTATTTCGGAATAAAACAAACATAAGAAAAAAAATAATAAAATTAATATTATGAAAAAATTAATTCATATTTGAACTCTTGATCCTAAATAATTTTTTATACTGCAGTCCGAACTGCAAATTTGTGTTTGTTAATTAATTGTGAAAAATTAAAAATTTTTATAAAATCAAAAGAAAAGAAATATTTTTTCTAAAATTAATTTTAGAAATTAAATATTTTTGAGAAACAAAAAATGGGTGTTTTTGAAAATGCAGTTCTCAAGGTTAGAGCTGCAAAAATTTTAAAGCTTCATGTACAAGTTAAATGTAGAGCTTTCTAACCTTAAGAATTACATTTTCAAAAACACCAATTTTATAATTTTATCCCATTTTATAATATTTAAATAATTTATAAAATTTCAGTTTAGATATATTTATTTTATTGTAATTTTAATATTGTATTTATTATAATTAATAATTAAACTAACATGTGCGTAAGCTCCGTATGTGCCGAATTGATTAAATACGAATGGATTAAGTAAATTCATATGACCAGCCATTTGTTGCATACGTCTTAATTGCCTTTCCTTTTCAGTGTCCGCAAACTTAACGACTAAACTTGAAGAAGCGCCCTTAAAATATAATTAAAAATGTAAAAATTAAATTTTTGTTTAAATTTGAAATTTAATTTTTTTTTTTTTTTGTATAGATGTGAATTTAACAATTTAGTTCGTGATTTTCAATGGAATTTTGTAATTTTAATATAGAAATGAACATAAAAAAAATATTGTCATAATAAGAAAGCCTAAAATTTTTATTATAATTTTATGACAACATTTTAGTGGAAGTTAAAATTTTTTTCAAAATCGTGATGTAATTAAAATATACGAAATAAAAAGAACTTTCAAATGTTGCAGGGTAAGAAAAAATTTAATCTTAAAGAATTTGGGAAAATTTGCTCTCCTCCTCAAAAATCTTAATAATCAATTTTGTTTTTCATTTATTTTAAATCTGTTTTTTCTATTAATTTGTTGAAAAACGAAATGTTCAGTCTAATTCAAAATTTAATCACATTATTGTAAATTTATTATTCTTACAACAATACTAAATTTTAGTATTTTTTTTTTAGTTCATATTTAAAAAGAATTTCGTATTATAGAAGAAAATAAAATTGTTGAATATTAAATTAATTTAAAAAACATATTTTTTTAAGAATATATTCGACTTCTATTTTTTTTTTTATATTTTAAAAAGTAAGAAAAGAGAAAATCTGTCGCCTTCTAATGCTTACATATTTGAACTGTCCTTGGATAAACTAATTATTATTCTGCTAATGTCGAAATAAGTGAAAAACGTATAAATCTATGTAGATAAGTGTTTTATATTAAATCAGATTTGCTTAACTCATATCATATTATAGGCATAATATAAAATTATAACTTTTTATATATTTGCAGTATAACATATACGTATACAAACTTAATATAGTATGATATAACAAGAATATGAAAATCTATATCCATATTTTGTTTGCATGTTGCTGAATTTTAAATGTGGCGATGACAAAAGATTCTTGGTTTAAGAATTCTATAAAATTCTCTATATATTTTCTTGTTATTTAGTCTGGTGATGAAAAATGCGTGACTTGGATTATTTGTTGATCGATGTAATCATTTTCAATGAATTATTCATGTTATCCCATTTTATATGTGGGTACATATTATTTTATGTAAATATATATGTATGTAAGTATGTATTATGAATATTTTTCGTATAGAATGTGATCTGTTTTTGAGACATAAAATCTTTAATTTAAGTTAACAATATTTACAGTTAAAGATTTTTTTTTGGGAAAAAAAAAATTTATTTTTTACACATAAAAATAATTTTTGTTAATCAGTAATTAAAAAAAAGAATGTTTTTACAGTATGATTTGTGTCATTGTAAATAAGCAATAATCTTATTATTGCAAAGAACAAGTTCTTGTTTTCTCCATTAGTATTATTGTAACAAAGAGACGTATAACAATAACAATTGTCGCATGTCATCTGTAATGTAAAATGATTCGTATACCATTGATTTAAGTAACAAAATAAAAAATTAAATTTCTGCAAGTATGACGAGTACTTTTAAATTTTTTTTTTTTTTTTTTTTTTTTTTATAAGCTTTATTATTGCAACTGAGAACATAATTCACATCCAGCAATTCTTTCTATCGTGTGTTGGCGGTTGTGGGGTCGTCATCCACTGATGAGTCCCCAGATAATAGTACATTTTATCTCACTGATGCAAGCTCAAGTGGCCTGACCCTTCTTAATCGTCTCTCCACTTGGTTACCATCTGTCAGTTGCAGCATCTCTGGATTGTCGTGATTTAGCAGTCTTGACTGGTGACTGGTTGCAGATTTTTTTATCTCTTCTTTGACAGTGCGTATGTTGAGATCACGGTGCAAGGTATCGTTGCTTACGTACCATGGTGCATTAACCATTATTCGAAGGACTTTGTTTTGAAAAGTCTGAATTATTTTAATATTGGTATCTTTGGTACACCCCCATAATTGTATACCATAAGTCCAAACAGGTTTAAGAACCTGGTTATACAGCAGAATTTTGTTGTGTAGGCTGAGCTCAGAAAACCTTCCCAGCAGCCAATACATTTTTCTCAATTTTAGGTTCAACTCAATCTTCTTTTTCTTTACGTGCTCCTTCCATTTAAGTTTAGCATCTAGAGTCATGCCAAGGTACTTGGCCTCGTTAGCAAATGGAACCTCTGCGCCATTAAGTAGAATCCTGACTGGATCTGCTCTTCGGTTGGTAAAGTTAACGTGAACGGATTTGGATTCGTTAAGTTTAAACCTCCATTTTTTTGTCCAGGTGGACACCTCATCTAAAGATTTCTGGAGTTTACTTGAAGCCTGTTCGACAGTTGTACCAGTTGCCAATATAGCCGTGTCGTCTGCAAACGTAGCAAGAAACGTCTGGCCGCTTTGTGGGATATCGCTTGTGTATAGCAGGTAGAGGAGAGGACCAAGGACACTTCCTTGGGGGACACCAGCCCTCACACTTTTCAGGGACGAGTATTCGTCTCCAAACTTGACTCTGAATAGTCTGTCTTGTAGGTATGATTCCAAGATTGTGGGATACGGCTCAGGTAAGTTGCACTTTATCTTGAATACAAGTCCCCTATGCCAGACTCTGTCAAACGCCTGCGCCACGTCCAGGAAGGCAGCGGAACAGAATTGCTTGTTTTCAAGTGTGTCTTCAATAACGTTTGTTAGCCTATGTACCTGGTCGATGGTGGAGTGCTTAGCCCTAAACCCGAACTGGTGACTAGGGATAATATTTCGATCCTCAATAATTGGTTTTAGGCGATTGAGGAGAAGTTTTTCAAACAGCTTAGACAACACTGGTAGCAATGAAATTGGCCTGTAGGATTTCATTTCGTTGGCCGGTTTTCCAGGTTTGAGGATCATGATGATTTCTGACTTTTAAATAACAATTACTATATTTGTGTTTCATAGTGTACGCCTTTAACAATTTACTAGAAAACAAAAATCTCATGAGAGCACATTTTTCAGAAAAATATAACACTTGTTTGCCGCAACACTAACATAGCTCAAAATTTGTTCATTAGAGAAATGCGATTTTTAAATTTTTGTCCTTGTAGTATTGTTATATAATTTATTGTAAGTGGAAATTTTCAGGCTAGACAACAAAAGAAATGTTCTAAGTGGCTATTTCTGTTTTTTGAGTTATGTCACAGTTGTAGCTTATAAGAAATAAGGCGTTTATATATTATGTTTTATGTATTTTTTTGATTAGAATGATTTCTTTTCAAAGTTATTTCGTTTCATAAAATAAAAATTACACAATATATTTTGTATTTTCAAAAATTTTTAAGTAAATGTAAATGAACTCTTGAAGTAAATGTAAATGTAATAATGGTATAATTACATGCTTTAAATTGAAAAAATTATAAAAGAGTACATAAATTAAGAATTTAGAATTTTATGAGGGTATTGCTATTCCTAATAATACACGCGAACAATATAAAAGATTTTGAAATGCAAAAAAAAAATATCAAATTCTTAACATTTTAATTAAGTAAGCTTCCTGTATGTATAGGATTTGACATTAAATATAACAACAAATTTTTCATATATAGCATGATTCCATTTAAAAACAAGATTAATTCGTTATTATATATGTAGTTTTAAGTGTTTCAGATATACCTTTAAAAGGAACTTCAATTATATATCTGTTTATTAGAAGAGGATCTGTGGTATTATTTTCGCGAGTTTGTTTATGAGCCCAACAAAAAAAAAGGAGTTCCTATACTTATCTTTCTATTTATGTCGACTTCTTCATCTATATAACAACAGATATATACATTTATGTAGGTATTTTGACATATGAATAAACTTTGAAAGTTTATCGCTCCCTTTCATTTTATAACTATTTTTTGAATTATATGTGCGTTTTTTAAATTACTTTTTTTTTTTACTTTTGCAAAAAAGTAAATAACGATATATGGCTGGACATGTTAATTGTTACAACAATAGAAAAAATCTTAAATTAATTTAAAAAGATAAAACATATTTGAATATTATATATACGTTTATGTATGTACGGTATGGTACACATAAAACAAATCCTTGCAGACATAAAGGATTACACTGTAAAGAAATGAAATACTTTTATGTCCATGTAAGCGTAAAGACGTATAGAGTTTTTGTTTAATTTTTTTTCTCCTTTTTCTTTTTTACATTAATTGAAAAACGAGACTCTTTTAATGTTTTATTTTTATTTTTTTTTCTGTGTAATCTTCAAAAGAATTCAGTTTATTAAAATAAAATATTACTTATATATATATATATAGAAATGAACATTTAAGAGTTTATGTTCAACAGCTTAAATCTTTGTATATTTAATAGACTTAAGAATATATGTATATGCAGTCGTACATATTATATATATATTTGTTAATTGAAGAAATAAATATTCTAGACTGCATTTATATATATTATGTAACAATCAACATACTGTGGGAATAAAAGTATTTATAGCAACTATATTTATTGTGCAATTATTTTTTTTTTTCTCTTTACTATTGGCATATTTTATATAATTATATCGCGGTGCACTCTATTATAGTACAGTTATAGGAATCTTAAGAGGTTCACGACGATTGAAATATGGAATGTTTTCTTTTGATATTTGTAATTATTATTTTAATAAAATAATTATTTTATAAGAATTTTATGAGAGTGTAAAATGTGGAAATTAATTTTTTTAAGTTAATGTTATTTACATGATTTTTTAATGCCCTCAAAATAAACTGTTACTGAAATGGCAGTTTTTTTCAATATTTTTCTCTCATATATGAGACAAATATTTCTATCAAATTATAGAACTATATTTTTATCAAAGAACAACTAAAAGAGCAACCAATCGCACACTAGTTTTTGTCCCAAAATTTTTTTTAAATTAAGTCCTGTTGTACAAGTAATTCAAATACATATATCATAAAAATTGTATATAGCTTTTCTCATAGTTATAATATTATACATAATACTTAATTTACTATTAGCAATCATAAATTATTTACTAAAAATTATTTATTGTCTAATTTTA